CACACCAGTACCATGCCAAACTGGATTAGAAATATAATAACACACACGCAGTCTTTATGTGAAAACAGAATGTGTAAACATCAACAACTTTTAAAACCAAATAGTCCAAGTGAGTCCGTATAAAGTTTTCACTGAAGTGAAACAGCTGGTTTTATTTACCAGTTTCTCTTCGTTCAAGTTCTTCCGGTTTGTGGATCTGACGCACGTGGCCAGGAGAGGTCGCTGTAACTGAAGCTTCAAACAATGAACCAGTTTTTGAAACATTTGTCCCAAGTGCTTCGGTGCTTCATAAAAGCTTCATTTGCTCATCACTACCTGATGGTTCTGAAACATCAGTTATGGATGAATGTTTCTTCTAAATGAAGAAAAGCCTCAGAAAATATCCGGGTCAAACCCGGGCACACCAGAACTGTCCAGGCTGAACCAGGCTGTTCCTTTTGTCTCATGGTAAATTGTCCTCATCGTCTTTGTTTTTTCTCACTGGTCCGGGCCGGTCCGGTTCTGTCACATTCTTGGTTGTTGAATTTAAGGATTCATTTTACTGCAAAGACCTGGAGGAGTTCCAGACCTGAAGACGAGTTCAGGCTCAGCTCCGACTCTGGTGTAGTTTTCAAACACTTCTGGACCCAAAAGGTTCTGGACCCTAAAGGTTCTGGACCCAAAAGGTTCTGGACCCAAAAGGTTCTGGACCCTAAAGGTTCTGGACCCTAAAGGTTCTGGACCCTAAAGGCTCTGGACCCAAAAGGTTCTGGACCCTAAAGGCTCTGGACCCTAAATGTTCTGGACCCTAAAGGTTCTGGACCCGGGGCCCTGAGTCTCTGGGTCCCTGACTGGACTCACTGTGGTTCTGTTCAGTGACACCACAACAACAAGCTGCGACCCTCAGACTGAGCCCAGGACCCCCGGGGGGTCCGCAAGCCGCATCTTGAGCAGCCCCGCTCCATAGAGAGTGTGTGTGCGCGTGCGCGCGTGTGGATCCTGGCAGCAGCCAATCAGCGGGCAGCCCTGTGAAACCCGGCTGTCAGGAAGAACCGGACGCTCTCGGTCCTCCACCTGCGGATCCTGTTGGATTTTCTGGAATTCGGGATCCCGTCCGCGCGGCTCGGTTCCGGTTCTGCAGTGCTGGGTTCCATTGTGGACCCACAGCGAGACGGTACCGACCGTAAACCTGGAATATACCGGGACCAAAACTCCACCGAACTGAAACTGCGGACGAACACCTGCTGCCAGGACCGGGTCCAGAACCGAACCGGACCACAGGGGACTCTGATGAATCCTCTATGGCACAAGAAGTGAGCTAGAACGGTCCGGTGGTTCCGGAGGCGCGATGTCTGTGAACGAGCTGTACACCAAGGTGAGTCCAGTTTACCTGGCGAACAGAACCGTGCTCAACTTTCACCTGGTTCCGACAGAACAGACCCGAACTCATCTGCTGTAAACTCTGGACCCTGAAGAGTTCCAGTGGACTCTGGATCGAACCGAACCTCGTGGTATTTCAGTCAGAATTTAAAAGGCGAAACACCTGTTGACTGCAGGGTTCTGCGCATGCGCAGTCTGAGAGAGAACGTTAAGGTGAAGACTGTTACACTGAAGGATATATGCTGGTCATAAAATTAGAATATCGTGAAAAGGTTGATTTAGTTCAGTAATTCTATTCAAAACAGTGCAACTTTTATATTATATTCATGCCAAATGTTTATTTCTTTTAATGTTGATGATTATTCAAGGATTCAATGTTGTCATTCGCACCTCATGTGGTACATGTGGCGGAACGACATTATGTTCACAGGGTCCCAGTTACATCCAAAAATAAACTGTAAAAGAAAAACAGTAATAAGATCTAAGACATGAACTAAGAAAAACATCAACTAAATATACACTAAGCACTCATAACATAAAACATTATGCCGATTATAACTGACAACTAATGAAAACCCCAAATTCAGTATCTCAGAAAATTAGAATATTGTGAAAAGGTTCGATGTTGAAGACATCTGGTGCCACACTCTGATCAGCTGATTAACTCAAAACACTTGTAAAGACTTTTAAATGTTCTCTCAGTCCAATTCTGTAGCTACACAATCATGGAGAAGACTGCTGACTTGAGAGTTGTCTAAAAGACGACCACTGACACCTGCACAAGGAGGGCAAGACACAGAAGGTCATTGCTAAAGAGGCTGGCTGTTCACAGAGCTCTGTGTCCAAGCACATTAATGAGAGGCGAAGGGAAGGACAAGATGTGGTAGAAAAAAGCAACAGGGATAACCACAGCCTGGAGAGGATTGTGAAGAAAAAGCCATTCCAAAATGTGGGGGAGATTCACAAAGAGTGGACTGTAGCTGGAGTCAGTGCTTCAAGAACCACCACGCTCGGACGTATGCAAGACATGGGTTTCAGCTGTCACATTCCTTGTGTCAAGACACGAACAAGAGACAGCGTCAGAAGCATCTCGCCTGGGACTGATGCTGAGTGGTCCAAAGTTCTGTTCTCTGATGAAAGTACATTTTGCATTTGTTTTGGAAATCAAGGTCCCAGAGTCTGGAGGAAGAGGAGACACAGAATCCACGTTGTTTGAGGTCCAGTGTCAAGTTTCCACAGTCACTGATGGTTTGGGGCCATGTCATCTGCTGGTGTTGGTCCACTGTGTTTTCTGAGGTCCAAGGTCAACGCAGCCGTCTGCCAGGAAGTTGTAGAGACTTCCTGCTTCCTGCTGCTGAACAACTTTATGGAGATGCACATTTCATTTTCCAACAGACTTGGTACCTGCACACAGTGCCAAAGCTACCAGTACCTGGTCTAAGGACCATGGTGTCCCTGTTCTTAATTGGCCAGCAAACTCTCCTGACCGTAACCTCATAGAAAATCTATGGGGGATAGTGAAGAAGAAGATGTGAAACACCAGAGCCAACAATTGAGAAGAGCTGAAGGCCACGATCAGAACACCTGAGCAGACTGATCCAGTCCATGCCACGCCGCGCTGATGCAGTAATCCAGGCAAAAGGAGCAACAACTAAGTGTTGATGCTGTACATGCTCACACTTTTCAGTTAGCCAACATTCATAAAAATACTTTTTTAAAATTGGTCTTAAGTAATATTCTAATTTTCTGAGATACTGAATTTGGGATTTTCATTAGTTGTCAGTTATAATCATCAACATTAGAAGAAATAAACATTTAAAATATTTCAGTCTGTGTGTAATGAATGAATATAATGTACAAGTTTCACTTTCTGAATGGAATGACTGAAATTAATCAACTTTTACATGATATTCTAATTTGATGACCAGCGCCTGTATGTTAGCCTAATTTAAGAGCAGGGTCAGATGGGTTCGGATCCATTTACAGTTCAACAGTTTTCATCCTCAGGCCCAAACAGGACCGGGTTCAGTTAGAAAGAGGTTCTGTTTGAGAAGAGTTCTGAGTGTGACTAAGGTGTCAGGTTGTGGATCCACAGTCAGGTGTAAATCAGACCATCAACTGGTCTGTGGTGCTTCTGGTGATCCAGAGGGTCTTTGTTGAAGCAGAACTGCTTGTCTGGGATCAGTTCTGTTAATGGTTTATGTTGTTGCTGAAACTCCTCGTCATCACTGATGAAGGTTCTTTATTGTCATTTGCATCACATGTGGTAAATGAGGTGGAATGAAATTGTGTACTCAAGGTCCCAGTTACACCCTAAAATAACAAAAATATAAAGTATAACAAAATAAACAGTATACAAAGATCTAAGTAGTAGTATCCTTTATTTAACAAGGAAAAATAACTCATTGAGATTAAAAACCTCTTTTCCAAGAGTGACCTGGTCAAGACAGCAGCATAAAACATACAACCAATCCAAAATACTAAACCAATTAGACAAATACATATCCAGGAGCAATCACAATAATTACACATGAGAGCAGTTACAGGAGCCAAGTGATCTGAGCTCTCGTTCCTTTAGAGTTGATTTAAATTGTCCCAACGTAACAAGAGATGCTAACCTTAAATCCTTCTGCACAATATTCCAAGTGGCAGGGGAGAAATATTTAAACGCCTTTTTACCCAGTTCAGTTCTGACCTTTGGGACCTGCATCAAAATGATGTCCTGAGAGCGCAGACTATAATGGCTGAAAGTTTGAGATAAAAGTGAACATAAATATGTAGGAAGATGTCCAAGGATGCATTTATAGACAAAAACCAACAAGTCAGAAAGTCTGCGGTCAGTCAAAGAGGGACATTTTGCTGTAGCATACAAAGTGCAGTGATGTGTTCGATAGACGCAGTCAGTCATAAAATGCAGGGCACAATGATATACAGCATCCAATTTTTTTCAAAAGATATACGCTGTACAATAATAATGTGAAAAATAATATGTTATATTTAACAGCAGCCTGAACATGAGTCTGTTGTGAGCAGATGGGTATGAATAAAGCAGATTAAGGGCAAGAGATCAGCAGCATGGATAATCAGCAGCTCAGATAAGTCACATATCACCAATTAAAGTGAAAAATTACAGTGATTTTTTTTTCTCACTACAGTGATTATCCTGGTTAGAGATTCATGAGTCTTAACAGTCTCAGAGTAGAAGCTGTTCCTCAGTCTAGTGGTTCTACACTTAATGCTCCTCAACCTCCTTCCTGAGGGGAGTGGGGCAAAAAGTGTGTGTGCTGGGTGAGTGGGGTCCTTCATGATGCAGGTGACCCTCTTCCTTCATCTGGAGGTGTAGATGTCTGTGATGGTGGGGAGACTGACTCCAACATCTTCTGTGCAGCCTTCACCACTCTCTGCAAAGCTTTTCTTTCTGCAGCTGTGCAGCCTCCATGCCACATGGTGGTGCTGGAGCACAGGATGCTCTCCACTGCACACCTGTAGAAGGAGGTGAGGACTGAGCTTCACAGACCAGCTTCCTATAGCCACCTGAGGAAGTAGAGTCTCTGATGAGCTTTCTTCATCAGGCTGGTGTTGTTGTTGCTCCAGCTGAGGTTGTCATTCAGGTGTACACCCAAGTACTTGTAGCTGGAGAACATTTCCACCACATATCCTCCTATGCTAGTGTGTGTGTGTGTGTGTGTGTGTGTGGGGGGGGGGGGGGATATGTGTGTTTGCTTCTTTTGAAATCCACAGTCATCTCCTTCATCTTTTTCACATTGATGTGAAGGTTGTTCTTCCTGCACCTGCTCTCCAGGTGTTCCACCTCCTGCCTTTAGCCGTACTCATAATTGTTTGTGATGCATCCAACCACCGCTGTATCATCTGCAAACTTTACAATGTGACAGCTTGGATGGGTAGGTGAACAGTTATATGTGAGAAGATTGAACAGGAGGGTGGTCAACACACAGCCCTGGCAGGAGCCAGTGTTCAGGGTTGTGATGTAGGAGGAAGTTGTGGATCCTCACAGACTGCAGCCTGTTGGTTAAGAAGTCCATGACCCAGTTGCATAGAGAAGGTCTTGGTCCTAGTGTGAGTAGTTTGTCCATCAGGGTTTTGAAGGCAGATGTGAAGTCCACAAATGGACGTTGGAGTCCTTCTGCTCCAGGTGGATGAGAGCAGTGTGGACCACAGAGGAGATGGTGTCCTCTGTTTATCAATTCTTGCGCTATGTATATTGGTGCGGTCCTTGCTGATGTTGATGGTAGCTTTGATGTGGGCCATGACCAGTCTTTCAAAGCATTTAGCGACTATCAGTGTGAGGGCTAGTGGCTGGTAGTCATTCAGTCCTGTCACTGCAGAGCTTTTAGGAACTGGGATGATAGTGGCAGTCTTCAGGCAGATGGGAACAGTTGCCAGGGTGAGGGAGGAGTTAAAGATATCAGCCAGCACCTAGGGCAGGATGATATGCTCAAAAGTTTTATCACAATATATTTCTTATTTTCAATCGATAACGATATAATTCGATATTGATATAAACAATATAAAAGCCTCATAAAAACCCAGATGGACACGCAATATTGCAGAGTCATGTAAGCCAACCTCAGTGGAAGATGTGCCGGTGGGATTGAGGAGTTCTTGAAAGTATTCTGCCCACCGACCCATGACATCCCGAGTTGAGGTCAGCAGCACACCACATCTACACTAAATAGTGTTGGCGGCCAAGATGGGGGGCAACAAGTATGCCCACTCCTGCTCGACACCTCTCACCAGGGACAACTCCAGAGTGGAAGAGTGTCCAACCCTTTTCAAGGAAACTGGTTCCAGAGCCAGAGCAATGCGATGAGGTGAGTCCGACTATTACTAGCTGGAACCTCTCATATTCACACACTAGCTCAGGCTCCTTCCCCACCAGAGAGGTGACATTCCACGTCCCAGTAGCCAGCTTCTGTAGCCAAGGATCAGACTACCAGGGTCCCCGCCCTCGACCACCACCCATCCCACATTGCA